GATATTTTAAAATTTTTAAAAACTTTGATTAATAATATCTTAACAACCACTTGACCAAAATCAATGAACTTTTTTTTTATTTGAATTTTACATATCTGTAGAATTTGAATAAAAAAAAAGTATTAATTTTGGTTAAGTGGTTGCTAAGATATTTTCAAACAAAAATTTAAAAACTTGTATATAATAAAGTAAAAAATTGAAAGGATAATCATGGTGCAAATAGCAAAATTCATGATGCAAATAACAATTCTCTAGTTATATAAATCTAAAAAATTAAAAAATACAAAAATCTACTTAAACGAAACCTAAATAAAAAATAGTACAGATCTTTGATAATATTAAAAAAAATTTCTAAATAAATAAACTAAAAAAAGACTAAATATTTGACAAAAATATCCACTAATCATATTATTAGAATATTAACTAGAAAAAAATCTCTATATCATAAAAACTTATTAATCACCCAATATATCACATATGAATTTTTTAATATGAGATCAAATAATTGATGCATCTAAATTTTATATATAAAATTTAAACAAATTTTACTTTTTAAGTATATTTAATAATGAAGAAACCATCAGTTTAATTTCTGAACAACATTTTGCAAATTCTTTTGCATTCAAAGAATCTTATAAAATTTGAAAGATGATTAAAAATAAGGTTAAGAAACATCATTATCACAAAGTTGACCAATTTTTTTATAATTTTTACTATTTGTTTATATGTGATAATAAGTAATGAATATTATTTATTTAAATAAGTTTAAGGATAGAAGATATACAAATTACTTTTCATAATAGTCATATAGTAGATTATTTTATAATAACAAATCAATTATATCTATATGTTATTTATATTAAACTACCTAGAAAAATTTTATACTATCTAGAAAATTTACTAGTAAACAATCAGATAATCATTATATAATACCCTCTACTTTTAAATATTTTCAAAATATATAACACTCTCGAACCTATTAATACTTGATTTATATAATCAACTTTTTATTAAATATTTTTTTTAATTCTGATAATCATATCAAAATCTATATAAATTTTTATTTTATAATAAATAAAAATTGAAATAATTTGGCCTCACCTTTAAGATTTAAAATTGAAATAATTTTTTGAAATATAATTTTTATTGAAATATCGCCTACCCATTCATTAATTTTTAATATACGTAAGCACAATCACAAAACAAATCGAAACATCTTAAAATCAATAGTTAAATTCCGTAGTCTTATTAGATAAAATGTCGTATTTTTTTTATTCAGCAAAATAAATGTTATACATTTTATAAAACAAAGTAAATTTTTTTTTTATATTTCACGCAAAATCACCATGACCCCACCCTATGACTAGATGTTTAAATGAATAGTAATAATCTAGCGCTAGTTACAAATTATATATAGATAAGCTACGTAGCAATTAATTGACTCTAAAAAATTCGTATTATATATATTATTGGAAACCAAATCCTGTTGTTCCCTCCGAAATTGCCAATAATAATTGCGACCTTAACTGCTCGTAATCTTCGTATTCAGGAATATCCAATTGATTAAAGCTATTTATAATGATACAATAATAAGTTATTATTAATCTTAACGCTATAAAATCTTGAATCGGGTCAAAAACTTACCATGTATGAGCAGAAGGGAGTCGATCTGGACTTGAGAAATCTTTATGAATTTGGAACTTCTGAACTCCATGAACACCTTGTAAAGCCGAGAAGCCTTCTAACGGTACCTTAGATGTACCTGTAACAAATTGTAAAAGTTTTGCCCTCTCTTCTTGATCAAAGCTCCGTACAGCTCTCCAGAACCATTGTATTTGAGGCGATGAAGCAGTATAGTTTTGATATTCAGTATTATTTTTCCAATCATCAATATCAATATCTGGCATTCCTGATATAAGAAGTTCTAATTCTTGCTCATTAAATATGCTAATCAAATGTGCAGGAATAATTTCATGGAAACCAGCAAGAAAATGCTCTATTTGATCTTTGATAGCCGATGTAAGTCTTTGCTCTGTAACAAGCATAACATACTCTCGCTTATTTTCATCTGTCACTGAAATGTTTCTGCCATTAGGTTTCAAATCAATAACTTTCTCTTCACCAAAATCATTAGTTACAACACTAAATGTTAATTCAACAACATTAGTTATATCGTTATTCAACATCCATACAAGACTATTGTAATACTCCAGGTCAATGGCTTCGACATCTCGGTAGTCAACAGGTTTACCAAGAATATGTTTATAGAATGAACGAGTAAAATAAGCATCCAAAAGTCTGCCGTCATAAATGGCTTTGCCAATAACACGACCAACAAACTTAAAGAATAATAAATGTTCTGGATTTGCACCTGATGCTCTATTTGGCTGATATGTTAATCTATCTGCTGCCGAAGTTTTAAACAATGCATAGTTTTCATTAAACATTTGTCTAGCGAGAACTTGGAACCATTCTCTCGTCACTCCACCAGCATCTACACCTTCTTCCTCGTAGAAACGAACACTAAGTTTACCATATTTAATTTCGTCTCCTGTTCTTCTTTGCAAGTTTTGGTAGGAATCTTCAAATACGTACTGTCTACGAACATTAAGTTGTAAAGTACCATAATGATCACGAGTGTTTGTTCGTTTATGAAGTTGTTGATTGAAATAGTTTCGTTTGTTGTCAAATTCAAGAATTTTTGGATTATGTACAAGTAATGAGAAAGATCCACTCATTAATGATGGATTGTTTCGGACCATCGTATTAAGAATCTTTCGATGATCTTCAGTGAACGTGAAGAATAGTTCTTCCATACTTTCCGAGGATGCTTGTGATTCGGACGATGTTGCCTTTTGAGTAGAAGGTGCCATTCCCACATATTTACATACAACCATAAGTGACTCTATGAGTGGCAAGAGAACGGTTGCCACGTGAATCATGTCAGGTTTTTCATGTATGGTGGTCAAACATCTGCCGAGTTTTTTCCAAAGTTCTGTGAAATTAAGACTATCGTAAATTCTCATAACTTTTTCTTCATCTTCGGTCAGTTTAGAGCCTCTGCCACCATCCAATAACGTTCTTGGTGCCACAACATCAACTTCATCCGGATCTACCGTGGGAGCCAATGACACTTGAGCGTTTGTTGAAGCATTAGTTGCTGATTGTTGCTTGCGAGAATACATATAATCGATAGTTTTGAGAACACGTAACAATTTTGCTTGTTGTGATGATGATGGTGAAAATTTGGCTAAAGTGACACCCTGTACATCAACGCCAGTGTCCGCATCTTGTAAAATTTGAGCTAATTCATCCAGATCATCAAGTATATCATTTCCAAGTGATTGAGCCCGATCAACTAATTCTGATGTAATAACATCACGGGCTCCACTTAAAGTTGAAAGATGTTGAATAACTGAAAGTGTGTATTTAAAAGTATTACTTGTACATTCGCCAGCAGTAAGAACATTAACTACAAGGCGTAAACAATAATCGGGTATAACTGGTGGTTTAAGAATAGGTTGCGCTGGTTCTGAAGACGTCGAAACTGTTGTTTGATTCCGAGAAGCTTCGCTTGCAGAAGCTCTTGAAGGTATATTATTGTTGGTCTCTGAGTTTACGTTATTCTGTGGCGGATCATTATTTGTCTCTGGAGCTTGAGTCGAATTATTATTATTATTGTTATTAACATTGTCCTGGTTACCATCAGATTGCGTTGAATTATTATTTTGGTTGTCTGATCCGGTAGATTGACCAGAATGATTCTCAGTATTAGTGCTTTGTGTCACAGGGCCATTGCTATTGTCATTCGATTGTCCACCGGAATCTCCAGCAGTATTGTTAGAATCTTTCTTTGTCAATGTAGATAAAGGACGCAAAACGAACGAAAGTAAATGCATTAACTGATCCATTAAAGCAGTATTTTTAATAAACACTTGACGATCAAGTAAACTTAGTAGTATCACTACTGGATATTTGCTTAGTGTCTTTGCTTGTTTCTCTTTGCCTTTTCGGCTGTTAGATCTTTTAAGACCGATGTTATTATCGTGTTCCATCAAGAAATACGTAACTGAAGCTTCATTATATGTTACAATATATGTTAATGCTTCTAAACATCTCTGTGCAATTAAATTGGGCACATTTTCTCCGGCAGCTTGAGTTATTTGTGCTAATGATGAATTTGGAACACTTGACTGTCTTCTTGGTGTTCCCTTCTGTGTTCCTTTAGCTTTTAAAGACATTTGTGCAAAACTTTTATCGACCGCGGAAACGTCTCCGCTACCATCAAAAAGAACAGATAACAACATAGAAATTAATTCACCGCGTGTCTTGCTATTCTCACAAAGATTAAGTAATAATTTATGCAACAAGTTTTTATTTCCTAACGGTTGAGGAAGGAACAATAGTCGAACTAAAGTAGCCAATCCAGAGGTATCAACAAGTTTTACCGCATCACGTTGGATTGAAGGTTTTTTGGAAAC